AGCCTTTTCCTAGTCGCTTCTGACGCAAAAAGTGAACGCACTCCCTTTCTGAGCCGGCAAGTGCATACCTCCTACTAGGAGTCCTCAGTTTGCCTGGTTTATCGCACTCCATTAGCGAAATTTCCATAGGTTTTACTCACACTCTTGTTGAATTACGCCGCATTTCCACCTGCTAGTACTTCTATCCTATTTTTCTATTGAATACTTCACCCCAGGACATCCTCTTCACACAAGTTTGTGATTTGTAGAAAAATGCCTTCTAGTTCTTTCGATCTAGTGCGGTTGAAATGGGTTTCAGTGCATGGGAACAGGTGATGGACACATCCGCCGCGTAATAAAAAAAAGAATCGATGTTGCAGACTCGTGACGCAAACATGAAGCTACAAGACCCAGCGAAACGTGCAGACAATGCAGCCGCACTTCTTTCCAAGATTGTTGATCTCGACATAAAGGAGAAGGATGACGTCAGTGATAAGAAAAATCAATAGTCCTTACCGAATGTTATTTATTCTCAAATCACTTTGTTGGATTTTTAATTTGCATAGTTTTTTGTTTTCATGATTCAGTCGGGTATACGTGAAGCGAAAAATATATTCATAAAATGTTCAAATTAATGTACAGTCACTCGGGATAGTTAAGACCACATTTGGAACAAAAAAGAAGGATAAAGTAGGTGCTAACCCTGTGATGACTATGAAATGATGTGTTGCGTGATTAGTTGGAAACTAATAGCGTGAACCAGTCTCATTAATATCTCGAATTGAATAGGGGGTGTTTTTTAAACATTGTACAACGAATGAATGGAATATCGGGGAAGACAGCTAAAGATACCCATCACATAATCTTAAACCTATAATCGCACACGATTTCGTACAGAGGCTTTCAGTCGATTCTGATATCTTGAATATCACAAAAAAATAAAGAAATTCAAAAGTAGTATACTCAAACAGGCAGCAAAGCTTATACATCATACAATTAGGTAGAGCAGAGCCATACATAACGTATGTTTTAGTGTATGAACGAGCATGACTGAGAATAACAGAGTATGAAAAGGCGCATCTTGATAGTTCATACAAAGTGTTGCATTGTCAAATTTGAGTAAGCGTTGAACAAAACATGAAGGAAAAGCGTTCGATGCACTCACAAAACACCTAATTGGATAAAGAACTCATGACTTAGTCATCTCCCGGATGTTCCGGGCAACAATTCTTTCTTTTAAACCAATCATCGATGCATCTAAAAAGGATTAACATCAGCACAAAGTTCGCCAAAATAATAAACTTGTTCGTCTCATTTTTAAGGTCGCGTTTATGTTCTGTGTATGTGGGAAATCTACGAATGGGGGGAGGCGGAGTGCAAAGTAGGGCGTAGGTAATAAGCTGGAGAAGCCTCGATCTGTAACAATTATAGCACCCGTGATTCGGAAAGTGTACGCCAAAGGATTGTATGCAAAGCGATAGACCTTGTCCCTCAGCAATTCGAAAAATGGCAAAGTATGCGAGCTGCGAGAACGCACACTTTTCCAAATCGCTTGCGGTGCGAGTTAATTGCTCCCATCTGCTGACTCGCATTTTCCGACTCCTTAAGACTGAGTTCACACTTTGCGTCAGGGTCCACCAGCGACCAACAGTGCTTGCCAGCATTCACCAGCGTCTAGGAGTGGGGAGTACGGGAAGTAGCACAGCAGACAGATGAACTAGGCGACGAGAAGTTGCGGCGTGTGCAACCGCACCGTGCAACTGCTAAAGCACGCAGATGCAATCTTGATGTACGGTATAGTGCACGTCGCAATTTCACGACGCCTCCAGCTATCTGCTACAATCATACTACCCATACTCTCCATTCCTGGACGCTGCTGTACGCTGGCAAACGCTGATGTTCGCTAGATCGATACCTATACTTTACTAGTCGCTGGCGTATGCACGAAACGCTAATGGTCGTTGGTGGACGCTGACGCAAAGTGTGAACGTAGCCTAACTTCGCGAATTCTCCACATTCGTAAAGTATGAATGCGGCGAAGGTGGTTAGTGGAAAGTGGCACACTTGACACGCGGAAGGTCCGGGGATCAAAACCTGGATCGGCTCTCGTCCAGGTCAGCCAAGCTTTCTACCCTCTGGGTACGGCAATTTCCACCAGATCCATCTGGGAGGATAAAGCTCTCTTTTGTACATCGGCTGGCTCCCGCAAGTCAATAGGCCACTCGCATTCAATGAGCTGATACGATTCTGAGTGGAAGTAGATTGCGTGCCGCATCCCACAACGGGACTGATTAACGGCGAAGACTTCATACCTTTTTATCCTTTAAAAACATGGCATGGCTGAACACAGATCCAGTACTTACTGTTTCAGTCTTTTGTTTATGAGGTTTTTTAGACGGAAATCTTATTCGGCCAACCCTCTTCGTCGTCGTCAAAGGCATTGTCTCACCACAACTGTAGCAAAATGCTACGCTCCGTGAATAGTTAGTAAGTTAATAAGAGAATAAAGAAGTGGTGGAGCAAGGCCTCTGACGACGACAAAAAGTCAAAACGTTGGCCGAATGAAGTTCCTACCTAAAAAACCTCGTTGGCAAGGCAGAAAACATCATAGCGTCGAACAATATTGAGGTTTCAAGAGGAATTAGAATCAGTACTTACTGTTTATGATATATGCAAAGGCAAGGCAAGCGAGCAATCACGGCCCCAGTAAGCATTTCCTCAAGGCAAATCGTACATTCGCCCTTATCTTCGGTAAGAACATCATCTAAAACATTCCAGATCAAATCTGCAGAACACTAAAGAAGTGGAGATTATACTAAGAATTCGATTTTTCGGAACCCTGGATATTCTCCCTTCACATCAGGCTGTTTTTTCTTATTTTTTAGTCTTATAGCTATACAAACGTAGGGCGTTTGTAAAGCTGAGAAACATGATGTTTGCAATAAGCGTAGCATGCTCGTTGTCATAACTGTGAAGGCTAATGAGGCTAAAAAACCAAGGGAAAGCAGTCCAATAGACGAATGTGGTGTAGTGTCAAATAACGTCGCACCTCACGGGTCGTTCGAGGACCAAACCTCGGATGGGCTCTACCTTAAGTCAGCCCTGGCTAGGTCCCTAGAATGACTCCGGACTTATACGGGAGAATAGGAACACCGACCTATTTATCAGCTGGCGTCCACATGTCACTGTAGGCCTGATTTCGTGCAAAATGTAGCCGGCGCAGATGCCCCCACGGGTATGGTACG